ATCGATTATGCGCTCCAATCCAAGAGGTCGAACATTGGCGTACGTTCCAGCCGCATGAAATGGATACCGGCTTGGAACACGCGCCAAATTGTTCGTTGGAACGCTCAAACGTGGAGCGGGCTGCTCCATCTGGTGTCGGTTTTTTACCGCGTATCAAAGTAGTTAAGTTTTGGCGCTCGCGCCAGTATGGACGGTTGTTTTCATCATTTGTATGTTTGTTGCGTTCCGAGCTATGGATAACAAAAGTTGCCGAAAATTGATAAAATTATATGGTTTAAAAAAACTGCTGTGGAATAGCAAAAGTCCATTTTATTATAATGAAACGCTCAGAGAAGATGCATGGAGAGAACTATGAAAGCGGCAGCTGCTATTACACGACCGACATCCATGGCTTAGTTGATACACTTGGAACATTTGGAGCGCGTTCCGTGGAGCGCACTGGTCGGCGCGGTCATTTAAGGCGCGCGCGCCAGGAGCGCGTAATTGACACGCGGCTTGAGTCCTTCCTTACTTTATGGCTTCTCTTAATAGAATTCTGCCAATGTCAAATCAGTCATTGGAAAGCCCTATTCGTTTAGTTTTACCTGTACCTGCACCTTTAATCCACAATAATGTCGTTGAGACAATTTGCTTTTGCCCAATTAACAGTGTGGCTACTACTACTTAAAGTAAATATGGAATACGCGTTCTAAAAATAATACTCAAACATGATTATATTATCTATATTTTTATTTAATATAAAAAATTATAGATATCCACTATGTATTTACAAAATAAGTAGATGGCAAACATCTTGTTAGATCCAACGAACAGAAAACGATACAATTATATAATACACTGCATAATATAAATCAATCTGGTCTCCAGCTTATGGATACATACGAACAAAAATAATACTGTATATTGCGATAACGCTTCGGTATAGCGCAAACGTTCTGTCCATTTCATGTACATAACAAAGCACAGACAAGTGACAGCCAACTGACATAACCTGTCAATTTTGACATTTGAAATGTCACAGTATTACATTACAATACATCTTGCGTTTCTACCGTTCTTAAACCTTTTTTTATATTTATTATACACTAAGGATTTTAAAAAAACTTACAAAATTTTGAGTGTTGAATTGTATGAAGAAATGCATGCCTAATCGCATATTCTTGGAAAAGCCCAACAGTAGACTTAATAAAAGTTTTTTTTTTTTTTTTTTTTTTTTTTATAGAATAAGGGTGACAAACGAGCACACAGTCCACCTGATGGTAAGTGGTTGCTGCGGCCCATAGACATCTACATCTATCCTCTATTACAAATCAAAATGTAGATGCGTTGTCACCCGTGAGGACTAAGATGGAATGCCTCATTTCCAGTAAAAAGGGCCTCCGGCCACCTGCACTCACCAAGCGAAACGCAGAGGTAAGTCTCTACTTCACGCTGGTATTCTGTGAGGTCGTGGTACCACCCCGGTTCGAGCCGGCCCATCCGTGTGACAGCAAAAGCTGCCACGTGGCTCTACCACTGTTGAAAAAGTTTGGAAAGAGCGATTAAAAATTGTTTAAAAAACCTTCAATATTTATTATAATATGTAAATAATACCTAGTCAGGTCATAAGTATTGTCACACAGTAAAAACTTTTCTTTTAGAATGCTGGCCACAAAAAAGTTTATTGAATTCGAATTTCGAATTGTTCATGAAAATAAAACTGTATACTTTTTAGAATTTTACTCATTTTTAAATATGGAGTGGACGCTTAAAGAAGACCGTGTTGCAGTTATTGCGTTGCATCGTTGCGGTTACGCGACAATTCAAATTTTTGACATACTGAAAAATTTGAATATAACCAAAAGATTCGTTTATCGTACCACCAAACGATACAACGAAGACTAGTGTAGATGACAGGTCAAGAAGTGGTCGCCCTCTGTCTGTTAGGACTCCAGCAGTGATAAAAGCTGAGAAGGCGCGAATTCAAAGAAATCCCCAACGTAAGCAGAAACTGTTGGCCCTTCAGATGGGGTTAAGCAGAACCAAAGGGTGTTAAATGAAGACTTAGGGCTTTGGGCATATCGAAGAAAAACAGGACATCGTTTGAATGCTCGTCTAATGGACCTGAGACTGAAGAGATGCCGCGCTTTGTTGAAGCGGTACGCGGGAAAAAAATATCGGGAAATCCTTTTTTCGGATGAAAAAATTTTTACCGTAGAAGAGAGCTACAACAAACAAAATGATAAAGTGTACGCACACAGTAGTGAAGAAGCGAGCAACCGTATTCCGCATGTCCAACGAGGTCATTTTCCATCCTCGCTCATGGTATGGTTGGGAGTTTCTTATTGGGGCTTAACAGAGGTACATTTTTGTGAGAAAGGTGTAAAAACGAATGCAGTTGTGTATCAAAATACAGTCCTGACGAACCTTGTGGAACCTGTTTCTCATACCATGTTCAATAACAGGCACTGGGTATTCCAACAAGATTCGGCGCCAGCTCATAGAGCGAAGAACACACAAGACTGGCTGGCGGCGCGTGAAATCGACTTCATCCGGCACGAAGACTGGCCCTCCTCCAGTCCAGATTTGAATCCGATTAGATTACAAGATATGGCAACACTTGGAGGAAAAGGCGTGCTCAAAGCCTCATCCCAATTTGGAGTCACTCAAGACATCTTTGATTAAGGCAGCCGCCGATATTGACATGGACCTCGTTCGTGCTGCGATAGACGACTGGCCGCGCATATTGAAGGCCTGTATTCAAAATCACGAAGGTCATTTTGATTAAACTTTAGTGTCATAAGAATCTATGTTTTGTTAAGTTCATTTTGGTATATAAATGGTTACATAATGAATAAAAATTTTTCAATTATTTTATATTAAACATTTGACAGAATTTATGACCTGACTAGGTATATATATATTGAATAATTAGTCTGATTATAGTTGGGATAAAAATCTCAAATTTAATACAACACAACCAAATATATTGTAATGTAAATTACTTCTAATCTAGTAAAATGGGAACTGTATGTCAGTCAGCTAAAACATAGGCCATTAGATCAGTTATTTGACACAACCATGTTCATTTTTTAAACTTTACATTAGGTAGGTTTAGGGTAGGTGCTACACATTTAAAATACCACTTATTGCCTTTATAAACTCTTTATAATGAATGTTTCTTACATTTAGTTTGTGCTACAATAAACAAAAATAAAAAATGACATAAGCAATGAAAAAGCAATTCACAAGACAATATGTGTTATGTGGATGGTAAAATATAATTTAAAAAAATTTACTGATTGCACCACCATAATTATTTCAGACTAGATACAAAATAAAAACAGATATTATGTTGACAACGGTGACAGAACATAGCCATTAAACTCGATGGACTTTAGAAAATGAAATCAGGACATTGATGTAATATGTATGTATTAAAATCTATTTTAAAATAAAAATCATATCATTTCATGCAAGGCACATAATATTCTCATTTTATGTAATAAACCAGGCAAATCAAAATATATATACAAATACGATCCTGAGTCCATCAAGTAAGAACTGCGTATTTTTAAAAACTATAATTTAATATAATATAAAATAATATAAACTTTCACTAGGCAGAAGGGTGCATAATATAAGGGTTTTATAAATAAATTATATTGTCAGATCTAAAAAAATCAAATAACTACCAATTGCACTGCATAATATATCCAACCTGCATTATTTTGACAGGGCAAATAAACCAACCATTTTATGTACTTAATAAGCTTATTAAATAAAATCATTAAATTAAAAAAAAATCATATAGGAAACCTAAATGCTTACAAAGCAACGAAACCACCTGCATCAAATGACAGGTCGCATATATATTTGTCAGTTGTAACAGTTGGGCGTTGCCAGCTGTACCTACCTACCTAGAGAGATTGTACACTTCTTTTTACAAAAACCGCGGCCCGTGGCCTATACAAAACCGTCATGATATGTACAATAACACTATTTATACACCTACACTTACGTTAACATAATGATCACTGAAACCTATCGCGCTACCTTGTCTTTTTACAAATCGAACCTATGCCCTAAATTTTAGAGCATTACTACATCTCAATATATTACACGCTCTGTCAACTCAGTTATTGCCATCGAAGAAATTAGTTTTCGTTCGGTTAAAATTACCTTTCTCTAACATTCTACATACATAGAACTTCAACAATAACAAAATTAAGGCTCTATTGTAAGGCTGTCTGAAGACTATTCAAATAAAGCTCTCCGATCTATTGGCATTATATAAATCTAATTTTATGTTATCATATGGAAGAGGAATATAGATTACATCCAAAATATGGGCAGTTATTTATATTTTCTTTCAAATAATCTGGTGTAATTTATATATGGAATAAGACAGTATTTTAGACTCCAACACACACTGCCTTTTCGTTTCAGAAGTAAATAAACAGCACCTTCTGTTGTTTGTTTATTTGACAAATAAAGTTAGAAAATTTATAGGCTATTTTAGGGTAGTTAAAAACGATTCTACTTCAGGCACACAAAGCTTAAAAGCCCAAAAATTGTCAAAAAATTTAATTCTGTTTAATGAACACAATCTTGACAATAACATCTCGTGACTGTGAGACCATAAACATGGACTGTATAATTTTTACATTAATTAATCACTCACTTTTGTTACATGAAAATTGTTTTGTAGAAAGAAAATGGACTTTGGCCAAATAAAGCACTTCACTCACATGGATCCACTAAGTAAAATTGATGGCAGTACACTCACGGACGATTCGGTTTATTAGGTGAGATATTTGACTATGTATTATTGTTTTTACTCTTTTCATGTGACAATATTGGAAGACACTATGAATATCAGTGAATTTTAAGTCTCTGTCTTGGTTTATTGTCATCTAGATTGAATTAAAAATAAATAGTCAAATTCCTCAATCAGTCAGCCAATAAGCAGTTTACTTTTTTAACCAAACGAGCATTTGTTCATCTGGGTCACACTTTACTCAGTCTAGCTGTTGCACTTGGACCACAGACGTTGGAGGTGGGATGGAGATTTCGTACTTGATCAAGCCCGTACCCCGACCCGTCGACAGGACCAGGCCACCGACTTCTTTAACGTCACTGTCGAAAAATAAAGTTATTAGATTATATAATTTATATACAAAAATGTAGTTCAAAAATTCAAAAACGACGTTACTATAAAGCAAGCCCCCAACTGGCAATCAAATAGCAGCGATTGGTCTGTATGTCTATTTTTAATTGTGGTGCCGTCATCGCTCACCACTAGCTGCAGTGTGGTGCTGCATGTGGTGTTGCATTTTAACTAAGACACTTCAAGAGTACCAAAAAGTTAAAATGTGTCTGATACCGGTACCGGTAGCGATATATCTGCGATACTTCGTGTACACAGAACATCAGTTTAAAATAGCAATATAATGCTTCTGCAGTGTTTTGTATGGTGAATAATAAAAATTAGACCGTTTTCACTGTTCAGATATTTAGTATAATACTGTTAAAAAACAGACTGTTTATTGAGAATATTATAGATCTCGATTCATTTATAACACTAGTAGGTTTACAGATGTGGTAAGATATTTAGCACTATGTTACAACGTTTACAGTTGAGTCAGGATGTGAGGTTCCGATTACAGATTGTATTCCTTTGTTTACCTTTTTTTTATATAGGATCGGGTGACAAACGAGCACACAGTCCACCTGATGGTAAGTGGTTACTGTGACCCATAGACATCTACATCTATTCCTACCTCAATAAAGACTCAAGATGCAGATGCGTTGTCACCCGTGAGGACTAAGATGGAATGCCTCTTTGCCAGTAAAAAGGGTTTCCGGTTCTCTACATATACCATACGAAACACAGCAGCGTTAAGCTGCTATTTTACGCTGGTTTTCTGTGAGAGCGTGGTCCTTCCCCGGTCGAGCCGACCCATTCGTGCTAAAACCATAATATAACTGCAGCATGGCTCTACCACGTATAAAACCTTTAAGTATACTTAAGCAGCGCAATTTAATTCTTATATCAGGTAAATAAATTGTCTGTTCCTATGTCACCTCACATGCATAAC